CGCCCCCCCCAGGTGGCAATGTCTACAGGTAGTCCTTGAGTTACAACCATTTATTTAGCGATCATTCAAAATTGCAATGGCATTGAAAAAAAGTGACTTATGACCATTTTTACACTGATAACCGTTGCAGTATCTCTGTGGTCATGTGATCAAAATCCAGATGTTTGCCAACTGGTTCATACTTATGACAGATGCAGCGTTCTGGGGTCACGTGATCACCTTTTGCAACCTTCTGACAAGTAAAATCAACGGGGATGCCAGATTCACTTAACAACCGCGTTGCTGATTTAGCAACTCAAATGATTCACTTGGCAACTGTGGCAAGAAAGTTCAGAAAATGAAACTCACTTAAAAACAGTCTCGCTTTGCAGCAGAAATTTTGGGCTCAGTTGTGGTCGTAAGCCAAGGACTGCCTGTATGCTCTCGTGACAGTGGCAAAAAGGACAAAGGCCGATGGAACCTTCTCTGACCAGAGAATTGGAAGTTGCTGTTGTGGAGGCTGAAGTGTTGGGTTGGGACAGCCGGCACTTGAGGGGTGCAGCCGTTGAGGGAGACTGTCCCATCCCTGCTGTGAGTCTTCTCAGGAAGTTCTGACAGGTACGTCGGGCTTCAGTAGTTGGCACCGTTAGATGGAATTCCAGGATGTGGAGTCCTGCTTCGATTGCCTTGCTCTGGAGCTCACGTCGTTTTTGGTTTACTTCTGTGAGATATGAGGTTAGATGACGTGTGACCTTGCAGAGTGAGAAGTTCCACCTTTCATCCTTCCGGGCATTTAGTGAAGGCCTAGAGCAGTGATGGCAAACCTTTTCGACACCAAGTGCCCAAACCAGAACGTCCATGCATGTGAGCATGCCGGAGTGCCAGAAACCCGAAGACCAGTTGGCTGGTGCGCGCATGCCTGTTTTCTGGCCTTTTTCCGGGCCATTTTCCAGCCATTTTCCAGCGCTCCAGCTCCTGCGAAGACCAGAGACCAAAAGAGCATCTGGCAATGGCACGGATGTCCACAGAGCGGGTTCTGCGTGCCACCTCTGGCATGCATGCCATAGGTTCGCCATCAGTGTCAGAGATGGAAGGGACCTTTGCACGACTTCCTGATCCCAACCCCCTGCCCAACCAGGAGATCCTGAACCGTTTCAGACAAACGGTTGTCCAATCTCTTCTTAAAAACCTCCAGTGGAGGAGTGAAGTGATGGAACAGTGTTTGGAAGATTTATGTCCAGCTGAGTGGCTTGTGTCAGATTACTGGCCTTCCAGGGTTGACTGGTGGTAAGGTTGGAGAATGAGGAATAAAAGTAGGGGGTTGCTGTGGGTATCCTAACACCTGGGGATGTCATTTGGGGCCTCCCAGTAGTGATGGTCCAAGAAAGGAATGTCAAGAAGAAGAAACAGTCTGGTGCAAATTTCGTCTCCTGGCTTGATTGCCTCAGTTGGCAATTAGAATTTTATCTCTTGACTTGATCAAAAGGGGCACCTGAAGGAATGAATACCACTCCTTTTGATTTTCTTTATACTTTCAGTTCAACTTGATGCAACTAATTGACTAGGACTGCATATCGTTTCAGGGATTCTAGAATTCTTTAATCAACGTGTTTCTGCTAATTGTCATGGAAATTATTAGCAGAAACGCTCACTCAGGCAATTGGGTAATTAGCACAACATTCCTTTAGATGTTGAAATGCAACAGAGTCGAATAGTGAAGGGGTTACCCAAATAATTTACTTTACAAATATGAAAGGTATCATATCTTTTACAGCACTTCAGGTACCTAAAATGTTTTTAAAGTTGCTGAAGTTTGGAATAATACTACTGAAATATGAGATGTATTATCATTAAAGGTGTATTATCACTCCTGGGGGTCCGTCACAACAGTAGGTGTTTAAAGGGGGTCCATAGTGAAGAAAAGGTTGAGAACCACTGTCTTAATAGATTAGTGCCAGAGACCTAAATCTAACATTAAATGTTTATTTTCTGATTATTTCCCTGAATACTAGTTCAAAATTGAACTACTAAAGATGGTTAACACAAGCAAAAGCATAAAGCCATAACAAAAAAGAAACAAATTAAAAGCTAACTGTACCATCTTTTAGGATAATATTATTATATTTTAATACCACCGTACAGCAAGTCTTGTTTGGTTATGGATAATATATTTGTATGAGGATGTCAGAGCTCTCTGACCAATTGGAAAGAATTACAGAAGCATAATCCCTATTAAATTTGCTGCAAGACAGTAATTGTGATGATTTGATAAAACATTTTTATTGCTTTTCCTTGGCGAAAACAACTTGGTGTGGTGAAATAACCTCATGATATTGTTTGGGGCCTGGTTCTTCCAGTGGAGTTTACCCATGGCTTAGCTTGCGTTGGGTTTCTGGAAGTAGTAAATATTTTGGTAATCTATTTAACAAATAGGATTTCTGCTCAGCTAATGTCATTTGTACTTTTGGCAGCAGTTGTTTTAATAATTGCTAGGGTTTTTTTTTGCAATAGAGTCAAGATATCCAACAGTTTTTATACTTTCTTGAATCTATACAAAGAGCACAAAACCTCTGGTGACTTTTTCATGACCTTCAACGGGGTAGATTTCACAACGTTGTGCTGGATGCAGATGTTTGGCATTGTAATATGGTTGAACTCTTTGCCATAATTGTAACTTAAATAATTGATGTTCAAAGTTTTAAAAAGATTAGTTACAAGTTTCCTAATAATTCGTATTTGTTCTTCCTACTTGACCTCTTCACGAGTGGACAAACAGAGTTACAATCTAAGCTTCATTCAAGTTATTTTCTATTTCCAAAGGAAAATTAGCACAGCAAACAAAAGGCTTTGAAAAAAATGAAATAAGTCGTATTTTCTATATTAAAAGACTGGCTTCTGTTTACACTTTATAAATCCTAATTATAGCTATAATTATGAAGTTTTTTCTTTGAAGAAGCACTTTTCTTGCTATGTCTTAATAAGATGGCATAGCTGCGGGTAGAAATTCTCCACAAATGCATTCAATCCCTACATGTTTTTATTTTATTTTTATTTATTTATTAAACAAAATTATATAGCTGTCCAACTCACATTTAGTTGACTTTCAAGAGCTTACAATTTTTTAACAAAATCAATGTGTAAAAAAAATTGCTGATAGAGATATACTAGCTAATTTTGAGTTGAAAAATAAATTTGTATATTTATAGGTAGATCAGTATCGTGCATTTCTTTTGGATAAAGGTTAGAAAGTTTCGGTTTTTCATTCCCCCCTCCCCCCCAAAGTAAATATTTTTCTTCTAAGTTTGCTTTCTTATAACTATTTACTATTTAATCTCATTAGGGAATCTACATCCCTTTTTGCGTGACGCAATACCTTGGTTGATTTGGAGGCAGTGATGGGAAACTGACTTGTAGCTGCTAGTTTCATGTCTAAGAATAATGTATTATGCAATATTTTACTTTTTTTTCACAAACACCTTTTGCCCTTTTCTACCAGTGTTTAGATTTTATTTTGCTCTGCTATAAGCTAATGATTCCTGGCTATGTTAAAATCATATGGAAAACAGCCAAAATGCTTTTTAAAATATATATATATATAAAAGATACATTGTGTATTCAAATCATTAACCTTTAAAAATATTTATATTTTTCTGTCTGGAAAAAAGACAATACCACTATGTGAGGATTTTTAAAAATATATTTTAGCAGCATGATTGCTTATTTAGTGAATTGGACGCTTTTGTCTTGAATGCCTTAATATTGCTTTGATGTTAATGTACTGTGCTCTCAGGAAGAGAATAAAGGTATTGTACGAAAATTCCCAATTCAAAGTATTTTAAAACCATTGCTGAGAGAGAGATAAAGACTAGCTTACAACATTTTATTTTCCTATTGTAAATCAGATCCAGGAACATATAATGAACATATAATTGGAAACAGATAAAAAGTAGATTGCAGAGCAAATAAACTCTCCCTTCCGTTATTCTTCTGGAACACATATAAAATCTGTGGATGCTATAAACATGTAGCTTCTCCCTTACTGCTCTTTCGCTGTGTGTGTCCCTGATTCACCCCATAGGTGTGGTATAGAATAGCGCCTCCCCAGAGGTTCCAAGTTTTGAACTGGAGAAACGCCAGCTGGTATTCTTGTCCAATTTCCAGGTTGAGTTCTGAGGGCTATTGCAGAGAACATGGGGTGGCTGAGATTGCCTCTGGCCTAGGATGCAGTCATGAGGATTAATAGCACCAAGACAAGAGCATCTGCAAAAATGATGTGGGTTGGGTTTTACTGATGTGTTTGCGTGTATACCTGTCGATCAGAACGATACCTTCTCTGTACATTGTTTTTTAATATTCGTGGTGCTGAGCTATGTGATTGTAGGAAAAATAATGCCAGCCTAAGCACCGTCTATTGTTGAACATGATTGTATGAAGCTGCACTGGAAAGATTGTATATTATTGCCCATAAAAAGCATTTGTATCTTAAAGAGATCCTCTTATCCTAAACACTAAATATCAGGTGATATTGCCTGTATTATGTACACACACTACACTTATGGCTTATGGCTTGACTTATTGCTACAGTTGAGTCCAAAATTTCCATTGCTAAGCAAGACAGTCGTTAGATGAGTTTTGCCCCATTGTATGTCTGTTCTTACCACAGTTGTTAAGTGAATCTCTGCAACCATTAAACAAATAACATGGTTTGTTAGGTGAACCTGGCTTCACCATTTGCTTGTCGGAAGGTTGCAAAAAAAAAAGTTGCAACACGACACTGCAACTGTCATAAATGCATGCCAGTTGCCAAGCCTCTGAATTTTGATGGTGTGAACGTGGGGACGGTTGCAAGTGTGTAAAACGAGTCCTAAGTCACTTTTTCCCCCCCCCCGCATCATTGTCACTTCAAACGGTTGTGATGAATGGCTGAAAGTTGTATTTAGTTCTCAAAGGAATGTAGCGCTTTTAATTGTGAGATGGAGTTCTTCCTTGTCAAGTAATAAATCCCTTTTCTCCGTTGCTAGTTCTTCAGCTGAAGCTGCAGCAAAGGCGAACAAGAGAACAGCTGGTGGACCAGGGAATCATGCCACGTAAGACTTAATTTCATTTTCTGCGGCTTGTGTAACATTGAGTGCTTAGATGTCTTATTAAAGATGAAAGGAAATAGACGATAATATTTAGTACCCATCAACATTTAAAGGCAGGATGACAACTCTGTAAACATTACTTCTACTAAACATCTGAAAATTAAAGGAAATTGATGGAAAATATATTACTGTATTAAACCTGGAATTCATTTCAATTAAATTATGAGCAATTGGAAATTAAATAAGGGGGAAATGATTTATCATAATTTAGTCTGGTATGCAGAAACGAGACTCTTCCTTTCTGTGTCTGGATGAATCAAGAGGGCCAAGCCATTGAGAGATTGAAAGCAAACCATGGATTTGTTTTCTAGTGTCTTCTTGAGTGGAGGTTCCATCTTCTTGTACCCTAAAGCTGGTGAACTAAGTTTCCTAGGGTAGCACTGTATGCAGATATGCTTGTCACTCAGCTCTTACTATGATTTAGGGCACGGATTCATTATCTTTCATTAGCCAACTTATTAATTTTGGTGTACTGAGGATTGCAAAGCAGACATGGTTGTGTTTCTTTGTTCTTCATGTGTCATGCAAACACCATCTTGTTACCTGGCATAGCTGAGAATTGCCTGAGAAAAATCTCGCCGTAGTAATAACAGATCCATGAATATGTCATGCTATATCATGGCATTAAAAGAGATGCACTAATTCGTTTCCGAGCTCATTTTGGGCCCTGAGTTGAAAGAGGTGTCAAAAAACATATTTACTTTAGGGCAGGGGTGTCCAACCCTGGCAACTTTAGGAGTTGTGGACTTCAACTCACAAAATTCATGGCTGGCTGGGGAATTCTGGGAACTGAAGTCCACAGGTCTTGAAAGTTGTCATTAGAAACTGCAGCAACCACATAATGAGGGAAATTTTTATTACTGGGATTGTTAGTTCATTATTATTGGGTTTGCGTGCATTCTGCCAGGTGGGATGGAGTTACTCACAGTGGCCTTAGGATCCCGTCATTGTCTGCCGTGCTGTTTGTTTATATGGTGTAACTGTGTTGCCGTTTTGTTTTGTTTCCAGCCTAAATCATAAAGGAAACACAATACTGATTTTTAAAAAACACATAGTAAGCAGAGTACAAAATATGAAAGGAGAGACTGAAAAAAGTATGCCAGCGTTAATTATCCCTGTTCATTTGACACCAGGCTCCTGATGCAACGCAAATTTTTTACTACTACTATTATAGCTGTTACATAATTGGTCTACATATGCTGTGTTAAGAGTAGTGCAAAAAGCCAATTTTCTTCTCCTGGTCTTTTAGCTATTATTACTCCATATTTATGAAGTTAATTGGAGTATTTTGGAATCCAGTACATAGCAGGCAGGGTGATTTTATTACAGCCAAACATTATGAACAGGTCAGTGAGCGTCCTACCTAAGCCAGCTGAAACAAACCTGCTTGAATATAAGATATTCACATACACCTTTATGATCTCCTGGCCTCATGACCCTTTTTCCTTTCCTTGTTTTAGCTTTGAAGAGCCCAGCTGCATTTCACGAGCAAATAAAGAGTTTGGAAAGAGCCAGGGTGAGAAATCAAGTCCGAACATGATATTTCATTCTTTGCATACGGATTGTCTTGGGAAAAGTGCTACACGAAGGACTTTTGGAAACAAGGAGAAATAGTTATAGATTTTTAGAAATGAAACCCGAGTTCCTTCTATAATGAAATTGAAGGAGAACTAATTCAAACAATTCAAACATCTGCAGCAGAATAACCATACAGTCCTACCATCACTTTCAAAATTAGTTAAACTAATCCTTGCAATTAGACTTACAATATATACTCCCTAGTAATGTATGCTTCATACCTGGCCGTTGAAGTATTATATTTGGAAACCAATAATTATTCATGATATGTTTAGTTATTAACTCAGAATTCTTTTGGGCAAAGGCCGGTATAGTAATTATCTATTTCTTCAACCTAAAGATAAATAATGGAAATTATTTGTTAAACAGTTAAAACCAGGCCATCTTCTCTCACAGTTCTAAACTTGAGAAGTCAAAAGTATATGTTTAAATTATCAGCTGAATTTTCAAAACTTACTGATGAGGATACCAAAGTGCTATTTTTGCTTTTTTTGCCTTGAAAAGCAGTCTATTACATTTGCTTAGAAACAAAATGAAATAGGGAAATAGCTTGGAGAACTAATTTATTGGTTAAATACCTTGGTGATTTAAAACAAATTTAAAAGCACCCACAGTTATATGGACATTTTAATGTTCATGAAGTTTTAGATTATATTTAATACATGAGATTATAATATATTGTAAGCTTTCATGAACAAATAATACAAGTTTATGGGAAAACAACTCACATTTCCTTCTATAGATATATTAATGTAGCTTAAAGTGTTCAATATAAACACTCAGAAGAACAAACTACATTATCAGGAAAAATGACAATTGTTTTAAAATTCAAAGTCTGTTCAATAATACCCCTCATTTACTGATTGCATCTGTTGCACATTTGCTAAGAATTTCAGATTATAGACCGCATTCTATTTCTGTATGAAGATAGAATTCTGTTCGTGTTATTGCTTTGAAGAATAGAAGTATGCCCTCTGTAAGAATAAGTTTCTAATTCTTGAATCCACTGAAACTTGGAGCATAAAACTTGAAGTGGTTCAGTTTGCATTTTACACCTTGCTGAATGAATTGCCAAGAATCTGAAATTTTAAAATCATTTTAAAATAAATATTGAACATAGTTTTACAGTATCGGGTAACATCTTGCAAAGCATTGTCAGATAATAACATTGCTGATAGTGCTTTGCAGCTTCTGTCAATTTCAGCAAAACTGGACTATTTTGTGCTTATTACCACTTAAGTGTTATGTGTACATTTTAACCTATTTTTTTCCAGACTGAAAACTTTCTGAAGCATAAAATACGCAGTAGGCCTGATCGATCAGAATTAGTCAGGATGCATATTCTTGAAGGTGAGAAACTCCTTACTTTGATTTCCTCTTTCCTGATTAAATTCTGAATAAATAAATGAACCCTTCTTGGCAAAAAAATGTAAGGTTTTGCATCTTTACCATATGTTTATATTTCCAATCCCAACAACAGGTTATAAAAGGTGTGACTTTCTATATTAACTAAGCGGCAGTGGGTATATTCAGGCATAATATGGTTTGTTTGACTTTGGTTTAATATGTCGTGCACGTGAATCTAATTATTACAGTTTATAAACTGAAGTTTATGGTTCTCCTTGTGAGAATCAAGCTCAGCAAGCGAGAACTGGATTTAAAATGATTTCTTACCTTGCTCTGTGATGCAAAAACCTTATAAATTTAACTAAATAGGACTAAAGCTTAGGTCATTGGAACTGTTATTTTTATATAGGAGGTGTCTCACTTCAGATTTGTTCTGTCTTCTATGATAGGGAGGCTCTGGAAGGTTCTCTTGTTTTCTTTTTCTAGTTCTACAACATCTGCTTTACTAACTCCATAACAACTTTAGATACATGCACTAAACATTGAAGATAGCGTTTATATAGCATTTCGGAGTTTTTAACCATGGCAGTTCTTTCCCCCGCAGAAACATTTGCAGAACCCTCTCTCCAAGCGACTCAGATGAAGTTAAAGAGGGCGCGACTGGCAGATGACCTGAACGAGAAGATCGCTCAGAGGCCGGGCCCTATGGAACTGGTGGAGAAGAATATTCTCCCTGTAGACTCCAGCGTCAAAGAAGCAATTATAGGCAAGTAGGACTGTTGTCGCTAGGAATCATAGATTGTGAAAATCTGAAGCGTGAAGCATGGAGTGTTGCAATACCTCTCATAAACGTGCCTTGGTGTTATTGTGACACTTCCTCAAGAGAGCATTCTCGGTTTGTCACTCCGAAAGTAGTCTGCTAAGATTGGAAACAAAAATAAAATAGACAAAAGAAAAACAAAGGAAAAAAGAATCACACACACACACACACACACTTTATTTTTGTATTTCAAGGCAGTATTAATTTTGAGCATATGGAATAATATTGCTCAACCTTTTGTATTACATCCATGGAAGTGATTCTATGATTTTAAATCATAACACAGCGAGTGAACACGTACCATCAGTCAGCTTTGGCCACCTGGATGGTCCCCTCCCCGTAAAAGAATCATCTATTCCATCACCTGCTTGATAAAGCCATTATCTTTTTCTAAAAAAAAGCGGGGGGGGCAATTGGAAACAATCCATATTTTAAGGTCTATGGATTAGTTGAGTTTACACCTCGTACAACAAAATTAAATACCATCTTCGGTGTACATTATGATTATGAAAATAAACCAAACTCACTTCACATTCTATATGTTGAATTGAAAACCCCTGATATTGCATCAATATTGCACTATACAGTAGAATTCAACAGAGCTACTGCCTTGGGATAGAAACTGTTTTTCAGCCTATTTTTCCTTGTTTTTATTGTCCTGTACCATCTACCAGATGGTAATAGTTCCACACAAAAAAAGGGGGTTCCCAGGATTGAGATGGATCTTTGAGGATGTTTTGAACTTTCTTAAGGCAGCGGGAGCTCTAAAGCTCTCCCAAAGAGGGGAGAGGACAACCCATGATCCTCTGGGCAATGGCGTTAACCCTCTGGAGCGCTGTCCTATCTGCCACTGTGCAATTGGCACACCATACACAGGCGCAGTAAGTTAAGATACTCTCTATGGCAGTGGTTACCAACCAGTGGTTTGCAGCCCACTGGTGGTCCACGAGAAAATTTTGGTGGTCCGCGGAGAAATGTCACCCCCAGAGCACCCCCCAAAGCAATTAATCCAGGCTGCACGGGAACACGAGGCTGCACTGCCCACTTGGCTGCGGGAACCCTCCCTGCCCTCTCACTCCTTACCCGGCAAACTTGCCTGCTAAGTTGCTATTTTTCCATATTTTTCCCCTGACCATCAGCTGTTTTGCTGTGCCAGGAGATTTAGATTAGCTAGAAAGCAGGGAATCGTTGGATTTCTTGTTTTCTAGCTAATCTTCAGATCTTTGGCTCTGCTTTTAACCTTCCTTAGGACTGAAGCAGTGCAGACTCAGACAGCCGATGGCAGAAGCACAGATCTCTAAGTGAATCTGTGATTCTGTGAGCCACACAATCTGCCTGCCCGCTTTGCCTGATTTTTCTCTTTTTTAATAAAGTTGCTCTTTTTTAAATAAAAAATTCAATATTCAATTCAATATTTATAATATTTACATACAAGCCATGCCAGCCAGTCATACTACCAAGCCACACCCACAAATTAGCCCACGCCCAAGAACCAGTTGCTAAGAAATTGGAATCCCACCCCTGCCTCTGTGTGTTTGTGTGTGTGTGTGTGAAAGAGAGAGAGAGAGGGAGAGAGAGGGAGAGAGAGAGGTTAGATCAGATCTCTCTCTCTCTCTTTCCCACCAACGTCAGCAAGCCACTGTCAGTCAAAATTCATATTAGTGGTCCAAGCGGGATTTAAAATTATGAGTTTGGTGGTCCCTGAGGTCCAAAAGGTTGGCGACCCCTGCTTTATGGTACAGCAGTAGAAGGTCACCAGCAGTTTTTCATTCAGTTGTTGAATGAAGAATTATTAGAATAAAAATGATTGGGAACACAAGCCTATTCCTCCCATTGGTACATTCACTGTACAAGTAAATTCTCCACTTAAAACCATTTATTTGGTAGCCGTTCAAAGTTACAACGGCACTGAAAAAAGTGACCAGTGACCCATCCTCACACTTTTAACCATCCCAGCATCCTCAGGGTCACCTGATCAAAATTCAGGCACTTGACAACTGGCATGTATATATGATGGCCGCACCACCCTTTGGTCAACGCGATTGCCATTTGCACTTTCCCAGTGGGCTTAATCAATGAGAGAAGCCGGATTCATGAGTAACTGTGCAATTCACTTAACAACTGTGGTGATTCAACTTGAAAACCATGCCAAGGCCGTTCGTAAAATCGGGCTCAGCTCCCTTAACAACCACCTTGTTCAGCAACCAAAATTGCAGTCCCGACTGTGGTCGTAAGTGGAGAGCCACCTGTATTTGCCAATGTCTCCTCTTTCTGTAATGTACTTGGCTTTTTTTTACTTTCTTAGCAGTTGGTCAGGAGAACTATCCTCAGACACTGGATGAATTCTCATTTGATGAAGACAGCAGTGATGCTTTATCTCCAGACCAGCCTGGTAGTCAGGAGTCCCAAGGGTCAACCGCTTCTCCCGGAGAACCCAAAACAAAAGAAATACCCTCGCCTGTTACTCCAGCCTCCTCAGCCACCCAGGTACCCTGCCAGCCATTTGAAATGTTGCTGTCTCCTGATGTAAACCAGGCAGTTTCTCTTTCACTAATAGTGACGTCTTTCCCCCCTTTTTAATGTCCTTATATCCCCCTACCCCCTCCAGAGAAAAATCAGAGGTCCAGTTTGGCTCTTTGTCACTAATAAGGAAAGAGCACATCAAATCAGACAGATGGCTTGGTGTTTATGGTGGAGCGTAATTAGTCTTCCAGCCTATGTAGAAACAGCATCCAATAATTCATTATGCCAATTTGCTGAAATAGGCTCTTTTCCATATCTACTATCGAAGTGTGCTGCATCGGAATCACATGGCTGTGAATGGAAAGGTTATTTGGGCATGATAGCTGACTGTGTATTTAATATTTCTTTTAAGGGAATTGTCAGCTAACTCGCAAAGAAAAAAAATTAACTGTCAGTGTTAAGAGTAAATAAGCATTTCCTCTGCAGAATTCTGATTAAACCGAGAGGTCCTTGGTGCTTTCAGAGCTTAGTTGTTTTCTTGCGGGTGTTTCCTTACATGTTAGATAACATCATCCGTGCTAGAAGGGAGTGGGGTTAGCATGGACGATGTTACCTAGTTGGGTCAAGAAACGTCTGCAAGAAAGCAACCAAGCTCACTTCAACCCTGCCCTACAAATGCTCTCCTTTATAAGATCAAACTTCCATATGGCTTTCAAGATGAAAAACTTAGATGAGGCATTCAGATGTTCCTAAATTTATTTTAAGGAAACGAAAAACTTGTTGCACACGCAGTTCATAATTCTGTTTGGGTTATTATTGAACACTCATCATCATCCTTTTTCTCACATTGCTTTTCTTGAGAAATTCAGAATTTCATTATAGTCTGATTTCAGGGGAATATAGATACTAGGAAATACCATGAAATCTCTTTGAAAAGCTGACACCTACTACTGTACGTCGGAAAACGTTTAAAGAGCTTTTTCTCCTCTTCTCCTCTTCTCAGTATCCCCCCTTAGCAATACCAGGAACTGACTTTCTGAAGCCACCTGTCACAGATCAGCATGTCACACGCACAACAACTGCTGCTCCTCTTACCACAAATTCTGTGACTGCCACAAAACACTGCAGTGGGCCAACACTAATAAAGGTAGGACAGAACAAAATAGTGGATGTTGGTTTAATTATACTGCTTTCCTCAACAAAAATGAACATTTTTAACCAGGAATAATAACATATATAATTAGTTGGGCAAGAGATTTTTAAAACTTTAGGGGAAAAAACCCGACATGTATGCATTGGCAAGCAAGCATGAAATCTTCATCACCACCCAGCTCTGCAGTAACTATTAATCATTTTCCTAAAATAAATATTTTTTAACCTTGGTTATTGGTATTGTAAATACAGTAATTGTATTTTTCAGAATGTCGCCAGCTGGATTAGCGGTTTTGCAGCTACATCTGCCAGTTTCTATAACATTGTTTTTATAAGATCACATTGAATCAAGTAGACAAAAGGATGACATCGCCTTTAAATTATTTGCTAGAGTCCTTAGCTTGTAATGCTAATCTTTAACACTTAAATCGGAATTTAAGAGACACTAACCAAAATTTTAGGATAATAATTTCTGACTGATGAGGTGAAGCTACAATTCTGGCAGCCTACATTATTAACGTACTAATGTTTCTGTCTCAATAATTAGCAGTATTTTTCTCTCAGTAAGATTGCGTTTGGATTGTGATTGTGTTTGCTTTTGTGGGGTAGTTAAGTGAAATTGTTAAGAGCAGCTGCTAAAGTGAAAAGAATGTGCTAAGGCAGCTCCAAAGATAATCATCTTCTGGATTATAGTCAGATACTGAATTCAATTCCAGAATTCTTACTGTTGAATCTATAAATATACTTCTTTTCCAGATCAAGAACCAGTGCAGTATAACAATTTGTGTACAGGTAGTCCTCAATTTACAACCATTTGAATTTACAACAGAGCTCAGAAAAATAAACGTACAACTGGTCCTCACACTTACAATGAACGAGCCACAGTGGTTAGAGTGCAGTACTGCAGGCTACTTCTGCTGACTGCCAGCTGCCTGCAGTTTGCCAGTTCAAATCTCACCAGGCTCAAGGTTGACTCAGCCTTCCATCTTTCCAAGGTGGGTAAAATGAGGAGCCAGATTGTTGGGGGGCAAGAGGCTGACTCTCTAAAACCGCTTAGAGAGGGCTGTAAAAGCACTGTGAAGCGGTATATAAGTCTAAGTGCTTATTGCTTACAACCATTACAGCATCCCCACCATCATGTGATCAGAATTCAGGCATCTGGCAATCTGCATGTGTTCATGATGGATGCCACATCCTAGAAATATGTGATTTTCAACCTTTCCAGCCGGCTTCCAGTGAGCGAGAGAAGTCAGCGGGAGAAGCCAGATTTGTTTTAAGGACTGCATGATCCACTTAGCAACTGCACCGATTTGCTTAACAACCATGGCAAAAAAAAGAGTTGTAAAAATTGGGCATAGTCGCCTTCCTTAGCAACAGAAATTCAGATCTTCCATTGTAATTGTAAGTCAAGGACTACCTGTATTAATCAAATCCATGCACAGACACGAACATTCACTCAGCGGCTTTTTCTCATAGACTTGTAGTTGTGGGGATGAGTTTCTGGAGAAAAGAAACATCTGTGTAATGCAGGAGGCTTCAAACTTGGCAACTTTAATACCCGTGGACTTCAATTCCCAGAATTCCCCAGTCGGCATGGGGGATTCTGGGGGTTGAAGTCCACAAGCCTTAAAGGTGCCCCAAGTTTGGAAGCCTCTGATCTAACAAACGAAGAAGCAAACAAAATCTCTACCGAAACATAGAAGAGCAGTTTTGGCTTTCGCATCAACTCTGGATCCTACCGCAGCTTTGTATTTTCTCTCTGCCAACAGCAACCTCACCCCAAGAACCCGAATGAGAGACCTCGGAGCAAGAAATCCAAAGAACCGAAGCCCAGAGTAAAGAAACTGAAGTACCACCAGTATATCCCCCCTGATCAGAAATTGGAGAAAAACGAGCCCCTGATGGACTCTAACTACGCTCGTTTGCTGCAGCAACAACAACTATTTTTGCAACTGCAAATCCTGAGCCAACAACAACAACATTACAATTACCAGACAATTCTTCCTGCACCACTCAAGTAGGTGAATCTGGGGACTGTTCTTGGCTTGTTTGGTTTCCTCGTCCTCCCCCACACATACTTTCCTCCCCCCTGAAAAAAAAAAAGGAAGGGGGTAATTAATTTTTAAAAAGCCCGTGAGATGAATGTGGTCTGACTTTTTCCTCATTGCAGTTCAGTCTGCAACATTAACCCCAACCCAGTTAAAATAGATAACATGCTTGGCGGCTAAAGAGGAGAAATTTGGCAGTACGATTTGAAAGAAATGGATGGAACAGATAAAATTTGGTTTTGAGGGTCGATTTCATCTCTTCTTTTCTTTTTTCTTCTTCCCTTCGAAGGCAAATAAATGACAAACAGGGTCACACTGGGAACGTACCACTCAACGCTTTGAACAACAGCATCTCTTCCGTAGCTGTCAGCACACCCAGACTGAACGCTAATATTTCAACTAGAAAGCCGGGGCCTCTTCCTCCTAGCTTGGATGATTTGAAGGTAAAATAAATAAATAACATTAATAAGTGCAGCGTGAAATATCTACCAAGGGTCCTAAATATTGTGTTACCCCAACTCATCCGTCTTTCGAATCATTCTGTTCTTTTGCCAGTTCATCCCCCTGGCAGGTGCCAACTCACCAGCTTCCACACAGAAAATGATCAAAATGTATTGCTTTCAATCCCCCCCCCCCAAAATGTAGCTCTAGATCTCGAGTGTCTCCCATATATTTCTGCTGCGTCCCAAATTTCAGTAGAAAATGACACAGATTTTCAGGTATGGAGAACTGCAAAGGAGTCGGGTACATTTTTCACAGGTGGGTGGGAGCTGTGTGTTTTCTCTCGCTCTCTTTTTTTTTTTTTTTGCAAGATGCCCAGCCGCAATCTTGCTATCTTGTTCTAACACAAGCAGAGGTTTGCCCAAGAAGAACATTGCCGTGGTGATAAGTCAGTGACTATGTCACGGTTGGCATAAATGAGTTGGGCTAATCTGCTTCCCTTCCATAGAGCAGCAGCAGCATTTCTCAAACTTGGCAACTTTTCAGATGTGTGGACTTCAACTCCCAGAATTCTCGCCAAGCTTAAGAAAAACACTGGTATGGAGGATGGCCTTGAAGGACAGAGGGAAAACTTAAAGTCAGCCATCAGATAAGTGAAACTTGCACCCAGGCCGAAGGAGTTTCAGATACCCCAGACAGACCACTCTCCCAATTCACAAGCAATTAAAGGGGGGAGAGAAGAAAACCCACCCAGGATTGCAAGATTCTGTTACTATAGCCATTCTAGTCCCATAGGTGCTTTTTTTTTTTTAAAAAAAAGAGGCAATTGGACTTTGTTTTTTTCTTGAAGACGTTTCGCTTCTCACCCAAGAAGCGTCTTCAGTTCTGACTGAATGGTGGAGAACGGAAGGGCTGTTCAGTTTTAACGTAGGTGGCTTCTTTGACTCCTCTTTCAAACCAGCTTAACATTGAGCAGCCCTCTCTCAGCAACAGGGGAGGAATACGAACACCACCTATCATCTCCCGTTTACAGCACAGTCCTTTCAGCAGTTCCAAGAAGGTGCCACACTCATTTGCACTCTTCAGGTGACCTTGAGGCCACAGGTAAACCTCCAAATGGCCTCAACGATTTCCGAGAGAGTCAGGTGAGAGAGTGCTAATGACCAGATGACTGCAAGGAATGTAAATCCTTCCGTTCGCCACTATTCAGTCAGAACTGAAGAAGCTCCTTGGAGGAGAAGGGAAACGTCTTCAAGGAAAAACAAAGCCCAGTTGCGTCTTGAAAAAAAACACCTTTGGGACAACCATGACCTGGATGATTGAGAATGTCCAGAGACATGTAGTCATTCTAATGAAAGTAACTTTAGGGATACATGGTGTTTTTTTTCTTAGTATGGTCTATCTCATAAGACATTTTGGTGCTATGTTCAAAAAGTTGCTGAAAAGAGCATCTAAGGATTGCAGCAGCTACCTGATTTTGAGGGAAACATATTGCTACTTTAAAAGCAATAATGACAATAAGACAAGGGCAGACGTAAGAGAAGTTAATAAAGTCATGCACAATGAAGAGAAGGTAAATCACAGTGGATTCTGTGAATTACAGGTACAAACCAGAGTTAGAATGACAGAGGAGATCACTATACATGTAGGCCTCAAAGATCCGGTTGTGATCTTTTAGCTTATCTTGTCTGTAGAGGTTATTAAGTGGATAAATAGGATCGGATAGCAGAACACAAAGGATGTTAACCCGAATGGTTTAGAAAGGCAGGCAGGAGGATAATTTTAGCATTCTGCCTTCAAGTACTTGCCTATTAATAGTCCTGCTCCATACAGCCAAGAAACAAAATTGCAGCTGTTAGCAGTTAACGTTTCAAAAAGAATAGTGGGTTTATCCCCCCTATTCAATTAGACTCACTCTTTTTGGTATTAACTTATTCAGCTATAAGCAGAAATATTTTCTATAGCCCCTTTAGCACGGAAGAAATTTTTGGTGCAGAGGTTCTTAAATTGTGGATCGGGGCTTGTTCTGGGGGTCATGAACAGTTCTGGGGTGTGTGGGTGTCCCATTGTTTTGTATTGTTTTTTTAACTTGATCAGGCTTGCCAGGCTGAGTGAGCATTGTCAGAATTCTCTATTGTCTTCGTGCCTTGCTTTGCCTGTACAGGTCTTATGGCTGGTTACAGAGCCACAAAGTGTGGGAACCCTCACCATAAACATAATTAAGATTTAATTACTAAAAGTCGATGGTGTGTTTATTTCTAGCCCAGCCATAACCCCAAAGAAATAATTAGTCTTGTTCATGTGGCTTCACACAAATCCATGGTTCGTTTTAGGGGGAATCTGGTTTCCTGCTCAAATTAGCTGTGGCAGAAACAAGTGAAGCTAATGGACTATGAGCTTCTACAGAAAGGCTAAAGCATAAAAAGATTGCCATTTTTTGATTTCCACTCCAACTTTAAAATATAGCTGAAATCCCACAACTGTCCAGTTAACACTGTAAATAAGCAAACTGCAAGGACTATCTAGAGGGCTATTACATTATCTACAGGAGTCTTTGGACAACTGCACAAATTAACAGTGTTGTCTGCATGGCTCACTCTTCTCTCGACTCTAGAGATTATATTTATAATGATACTTACATTGTTTGGGTTGAAATTTATTTCCTTCCTTCCTTCCTTCCTTCCTTCCTTCCTTCCTTCCTTCCTTCCTTCCTTCCTTCCTTC